CGGCAAAAACTTTTCCATCTCGTTCTCCACCCACGGGACTGCAGAACGTCCACGCTCGAGATGCAATCGAGCAAAAACTTCTGCGCCAGACCATCAGATTGATAAGGTGCTCGGAGGAGCCGCCGTTTAGTTGGTCTCCCGATTTGATTGGACGTTTCTGTGCGACTCCAATTACCTACGCTCCTCATTCTCTCATCGGGAGGATGTCGATTCCATCTACTCCTCGGTTGTAGGTCTAATTCGCTCTGCTTACCTTGGATCCCCGTTCGTTGAAGATAATCTCCACGTCAAGGATTGGCCCGAATTCCTGAAAAGATGTGGGAACAATGTTAAACCGAGGCCAAGTGCAGGTTGACGGCGGCGGGTGTTCCGATGAATGAAGCTATTAGAGATTCTCCACGGTGCTCAGTCTCACAATGAGAGCTGAAATTCGAGTAACCGGGCATCGAAAGCGGAAGAAACCGGATCGCTCGTGAATGGTGAACGATCATGACTACAGTGAGTGAATAGATGACAATTCAACAATCGAAGCACGAGAGAAGGACCAGAGAAATGAATGAATCGATCGACCGATCAAAGAAAAGTGAATGAATCCAAGAGGAATCAAATCATGCAGACATCTGGAATGAAATACCATTAATGCTAATATACTTAGACCGTAATATGGCTGCCACGCACCCCAAACAAGTTTCTGAGATCAGGTTCGCGATATCTGAAGGGGATATTGGAGACGTGCAGTCTCTTAGGCACATCCTTTGTGGTGGGAGCAGAGTTTGGGGCGGATACAGTGTTCACCGGAGGTTGACTGTTTACGACAGAAGGAGGAACAATCGTATCAGGCTGATTTGTTTCGACCTGATTCGAGTTCTGCTCCTTTAGGGGCGAACCTTCGACGTTTTCGACTTCGCCGTTATTAGCGACTTGCCCGCTCGGTGGCGGTGGGGGACTTGTGATCGATTTGTCCTGAAAAAATAGAAAAAGGAAGCTTAGTTTGACCCGATGAATCTTCACTGAACAAGGACGAAATTTCGGTGCGGAACGTTTCGTAGACTACCCATATCGGGCAGAGCGTAAACCGATTCGAAGACATTCTTCTTATCTTTGAGACCGCTGAAGAGAAAAAAATACACAATAAATACAACTCGGGTGATTGGGCGTCGGGTCGAGGCTCCCGCGCTCCGAAATCGATGGTGAACAGGCTGGTTTATATTTGATCAGATGTCAGACGGGGCGGAAGCACCAATGGAGTCCGAAGGAGGATCAGAGAGATTTTTCTCTAGACATTTCTCCCATTTATCCATAATGTACGTGGAGGATCGAACACAAAATTCGCTCGCAGCCTTCCGATTGTCCGCCGATCGAGCCGGCTCATCTCGAGACGGTCACACGCCCACTCACCCGTCTTCGTACAGGAATGAAGCTCCTTTGTCGAGCTCGACCGAAAAACGGACGGCAAAAAACGAGGAGATTCTCCAGGGAGAACGACAGAGGATAACGATCCGCCCGACCCGAGTTACTCCCCACTCTATCTTCAGAGAGCTCCTCTAATCCTGCTCTCAATGCTGTCGGGAAATCTCCGAGTTCGAGGGAAAGACACGCGCGGGTCCTACCACAGAGCAATGACATCGCTAATTTTTGCCTTTGCTCGGAAATTTCCGCAGCAGCTCTGCGTAAAATGAGAGAAGAGGTGAGTGCAGGTCGAGTACTCGAATTAGTGGCTCGCTCGGGACGACGAGCTCTAACACGGGTCCTTCTCCGCCATCACCACAGACCACAGGTATGATCAGCTATTCACGAGGGATGTCACGACAGTGTCGAGAGGAGCACACTAGCATCCGTCGGTGAGTCGACTGGAATTAAGCAATTAGCCACAAATTGCAGTCTGGGCTGAAGCACCTACTCATGATCTCTCCCATTAGACCGCGTTCTGACCAGGTTCAGTTCGTTCGAGGGAACCCCCAGAAGTCCAGCCCGAAGATGAGCTTGGTCTCGCTTCCTTTGCTCCGGCCCCCATCCGCTCCTAGATCACGCGTGGAGCGAAGGAGCGTTCCGGCGAAAATAACGTCGTCGAGCGCTCGTCGTATCCGCGATTGGGGATGACGAATTTCAAAAGACCAACTCGCTTACGAGCAGCTCAGTGAACGGCTGGGAGCAGGGGCGAACCCCGGTAGCGCCATTCAAATCGGAATGGCAGAGTATGCTCGAACTCATCGGTTCTCGCCGAGTGGAGAGCCATTCACTTTGACGCGGTCGGAAAGGACCCATCGGTCGGTTGGTCGTTCGGCCGTCCGGCCGGTCAATCCTCCGAGCTACAGGTAGACCACCGACAAATAATGGCTACGCCCCACGCCTATATTCCTCTTGTTTTTTTTGTGCTAAATCACGTTTGCAGCTTCTTGGGATTGCTCTGCTCAGGGAACGGAATATGAGGCTGGTCTCACGCTAACAAACTATACTTCCTATTGGGCAAACTCGGTCGCCAGCGGGCTACCCTTGGCTGAGTTGCAGCGTAAGCCCTCGATTACATTCAAGCCCGGACTAGTCAACTTGCCCAGGACGCCCCCTCCGCAATCAGCTGCCGCCGAAACCGAGAGACAGCCACTTGGTATTCCCCTCATTCATAGCGTCATCAAACGCTCGAGCTCCAAGCTGCCGACAGTTTCTGCGGGTGACTTCCAGCGCCGGTGGGAATATTTGAGCTCCCGGAGAGCTCCTTGTCTTCCGTTGCAACTAATGCTCTCTCCGGGCTTGAATTGTCTCCTCGGGTTCCCAAAACCCTCCTCTCTAGTCCACCGTGATACTCTAAGGAGCTGATCGATGCCTACTCTCGTTCAGGCGCTTCGATCCGTTTTCTACCTCCGAGACAACATAAGCTTCCAGCCGAGTCAAATATCCACGAGGTCTTCCCAGCAGGCGGGCGATGCGTGATCCATCTAGGTGACGGGACATCGACTACGATACAGGAGAAGCATATGAACATGGAGCGGAGAAGGCGATTCCCTTCGCAGAGAACAGAGACGGACGATCCCGACTGGACACGCACAAGCATTAGTTAAGCCCATGCATTCCGCCGGCACATCGACTCCGCAAGGCCCCGTTCGGCTCTCGTTCCTTCGCACGGGATACGGGAATCTTCTGTTCAGGGACCTATTCTGTCGCTTCGAAGGAAACGCTGTGACTGCCGAACTCGTACCTCCGGGAACTCCAGCAGGCTAGCCGAAACTCACGTCCAGGGGCTCCCATCACAATTTTCCGGGACCTGGTGGCGTTTCAGAAGAACTCGCGACTCTATTCCGTGTGTGACATTGCCTAAGATTCAGAAGGTTACTTCAGGCTCTGACCCCATCCGAATTCGATTCAAGAGCTACCGGACCAAGTTTCCTCCCGAACTGGAATCTTTTGTGGACCGTTCGACCGGTAGGCCGGTCCAGCGATACGCGGAGCAAGCTTCGCGATTGCTTCATGCGGCAGTAGCTCATGAGAATCCCTTACAGGGAATTTTTCTTTCCTCTCTCGGCCCAGACGATGCTCAATCGTCCGATTGGGCAGACAGGCGAACCGAAAGGAAGCTTGTCAAGTAATCCGGGCGGCAGGCTGCGCGGCACCGAGACACACGGACAGATTTACAGGCTGGCTGGCATGTAAGCAAACTTTCTACCGCTGTCGCTCTATCTGGATGACCCCTAGCTCGGTGCTGACGACCAGCGTTTGAAATGCTGAATCATCTCCTTCTTCTTTTCCTTAAGGTTGGTATCGCTTGCCGCTGTCTCCCTGCCTCTCTGAGTATAATGTCTCCTCCGAGTTTCTCTCGCTATTCAGACCCAAGTGCTGTGGGCTTGGCCGTCCCCCCGATCTCGTCTCGTAGGAGCCGGTGCCCGACCGACCGACCAACCGATCGATCGACAAAGCGGTCGACCTAGGTCCTAATAACGACGCGGGATCCATCGGCGATCGACCTCCGCAGAAGACTGCTATTATATCCTTCTAACATTTATGGAAGCCCTCATTATGTCGTGTTTGCCGACCGACCGATCAGACGGCCATCCACCGTGCCAACTTTCCATCGATGAGTGTTTCGGCGAAAAGTTGATTCGGTCGTCATAAATATTAGGCCCGTTAACAGACAGCACTTGACGGACAGCGGAGACGGTCGCGGTGAAAGCCCAAATCACCACTGCTTGACCCACAAACCGCCGGCGGATCAATCTTCCAATGGTTTCTTCCTTCAGCGATGGGTAGGGCTGAGAATTCTGCATTTTTCCCAGAAATTCTTGTTACTCCACAAACGCTGCGTATATTCTCAACAGAGGATCGTCTCGAAATCGTACCGCAAAAAATCAACGCACTCGACAAGGGCCGTGCGGAATTTCCAGCCCGAGCGATGCGGGACAGGGAAATTTTCGGAAAATGGAGCGGTGTCCCGGGCTCGTCGCTTAGGCCGATCTCTTGGGCGCTCGCGGCGACGCGAAAAACCCACCGTGGCAACTCGATGATCTCCGTGATGCACTCGTTGGAGTTTCGGAGTTCGTCCAAGTTTAGAACCAGTCCGAACGGGGGACGGGGGCAGTTTACGACACTGGGCCTCCGATCGACGATATTACCCGCCGCCCCGACCCGAATGAGCGACGCATACTAAGCGCTTGTTGCGGGGAACGTCGGCTCCGACATCAACGGAGGCTTCAGCAAGTTCGCGGGAATGAATGCAACTAGTGGCGTCATCCAGTACGGGATGCACGCCAGAAGCCGTCGAGACCCAGGAATCACATCACATTGCCGCTGTCGTCATCAGGTGCTGCTGGCACGAAGCCACTTGCGGGCTTTCAGCGAGCCAGGCCCGACGGTTTCATTCTCTCGCACAATCGAGAGCGCAACATCAACGTCCTCTTCATGAATCCTCTGCTCTAGGCTATCGTGTCCTTTCGAATGGAGGACTCGGCCAACCCACAGGGGAAAACTGTCAATTCAGACGCTCTGCCCGATGAAGTTGGGACGTGACGTTTCGGCGGGCGGTCTGCAGACGCGCGATATTAGGTTCCATTATCACCGAGCGATCTACCTGTTCTCGTTCCTGAAAATAGTACTTTCGAGTAGAATGAATGCTCGATTTGGATGAATAAATCGCTAAGTAAATCGAGCGTTCCCCTGCCCCAGAACTCAAACAGCTTGAAGTCATGGCGTCCGGATCCGAGTTTACGGCTTCTATCGGCCGATCGTAGCCAGGAAAATATACTGAGCAGCGTAGAAACGTATATACGACTCGGTGGAAGGGAAAGATACAGCTCGCCCACGGATACGCTCTCCAAGGAGAGAATTACGCTCCGACCAAGCGAGAATGAGCCCACGCACGTACGCTCGCCCCCATGCAGAAGCGCCTCGCCCGCGCGGAAAACGCAGATGATTAGAATCGAATTCTCCTTATCGCTCCGGGTGCGAATTCTTTCGGGACGATAGCACAACAAATTGCTCGGCGGAGCTATGCGTCGGGACGCGTCCAATTTCTAGAGAGATACAGAAGGACGATGATCGTGAGAGGAATTTCACCCAGAATCCCAATCGTTCGTCGATCTTATCGTAGCAGACGAAATGTCCGACTTCTCGCTGGTTCTTAACACTGATCCGCTTAATCAGATGTCCACTCGTTCGACGCTCAATCGTAATCTCGGGACAAGTTCCCGAGACACTCACGCACAGAGCCCGGCACATCTTTTATAGATGGATTAGCGGTTCTGGTGACTTCTGCCGCAGTGACGGTGACCACGATGAAGACGAAACAGAAATACGAGACAGCGAAGCAACACAAGATCGAGAACCGGTCAGACAGAGGCGAACAACGATCGCTCGAGGCACTGATGAGACTGAAGCCGATGTCACTTAACGTGCGTGAATGAGTGCTCAAAGCTGCTCGCAAAGCTAACCGGTCGGTCCGGTGCAAGAATCGAATAGTCAGCCAGCCAGCCAGCCGGTCGGACATCATCAATAGCTGCCATCATCGAATCGAGATCATGGATCCACCGATGTCGTTTTCGTTGGAGCAGTCTTGGCTCGGATGAAGGAAACAACTATTGGTTGCTCGACCGTGAGCGTCAAAGAGCAGATTCTTGGTGACGCTATCCGTTTCTCGTTTGACTGTCGATTCATTTGTTGACGAAAACACTCTGCTTATTCAGCGGTTTCGCAGAGACGTGCCAGCAATTAACGAGCTCCCGGCCATCATAAAAGCAACGGCAATAAGTACCGATAAAGAACAGAAGCGATTCAACGTCAAACAAGTCCCCGATCGCTTGGCGGAAGGCACAACTATTTCTCGAGCGGACAATTTCCCACATAAGATGGAAGTTTCGAGAAAAAGCGATCGAGCTCTTCATGTTCGTAGGTACGATTAACAACGTGTAATAGATCGAGATCCGATAACGAAGAGAGACCCGAGGTGCGGATATTTGAAATCGATCACCGATCGATCTTTATGGGCTTCGATATCCCGTTGATTCTGCGGTCAACGAGTCAGCACTGGGAGAGGCCACCATTTCTTGCAACTCACGATTGGAAAGTTTGCGTATCAATATGAGGGAGAAAAAAAATAAGTCTGAATACGATGGAAGTAGCAGAGTAGGTGGACGTAGGAGTAAAACTCTGCCCACGGCCGGAGCGATGGAAGTTCGCGACCTCCATTACTGATTGAGTTGGCCAGCCGATGCCGGCGTCTCCACTAAGAAGTGTCCTAACTGGATCCGAACACAGTCACCGGGTTCGACAGTAGTCGTCTCCGAAAGTCGTCAAACGCTATAATGAGACATCTCTTCTTCCTCGGAGAGCCAGGCATTCGTTTGAAATCGCCTTCAACATCTCGCTATAATTAGGAACGCATATCAGGGCGAGTCTTCCAGCCTCGCTGTTTCTATCTCCATACATCCCTACGCCCCCGCCCCGTCTGCGTGAACAGTCCATTTGATTCTTCTCGACGGTGTCGGTGATCGGACGGCTCTCATTTGCTCCTCTCTCGAGGCAGACCGTTGATACTTGATGAGGCACAGCCTCCGCGCGGCCAGAGAGCTACGAAATCAAGTATGCTAATTGAAACCGAGGCTCCGAGTCGAGCTCGGACGCCTTGGTCGCGGATCTGGGCGAGAAACGTGGACCTGCTTGCAGGTGAGCGATATGAGTTCCGCTCGCGAGTGAGTCCCGGGCTTCCAAAAAATGTCGTCGATTCCCCCGTGGTGTCTACGACTCGGGTTCGAGCCTCTCACACGAACAAGTTTCTGGCGCGACTTCCGTCGGAGTCTCCAACTCCAATATCCGCTTTCAATAGTCTGGCTGTCACTGATAAGACCGATTCGACGGTTCCGATCCTCGTATCACTTTCGGGGGACGACGAAAGCGAGAAGGTCTCCATTGGGAGGACGGTTGCAAAATTCGCTCTCGAACATCATAAAATATTCCCCAACTATGATTCTTCCCTTCCTTGATCTTGACCAATCCTCCTCCGATGCGGGGAGAGATCTCTTACCTGTTGCTGCTGCTGTGTTTGTGTCTGTTGTTGTTGTTGGGGAATCTGAGAATTACTGGTGACCAACTGAGCGGTCGGTGGCTGCTGAGGAGACTGTTGAAGTGGCCTAGATGGGTCCTCCTTCTTCACAGGCTGTTGGACCTGAGCAATCGGCCCGGGGACCCCTGCACTGGGTCCAGGAGCGCCTTGGCCTGCGAAGAAGTTCCCGCCGGCGGCTAACTGCAACTGCTGCATACCTCCAAGGTCGCCAACCTGGAATGGCAATTTCCTAGATTAGATTCCGACTCAATTGTTTGTTGATTACGTCCCCGGTTGTCGGAAGAAGGTGCCCAGCGAAAAAGACGGAAATCTGGATGTTGGGTGCTTCCTCAAAAATATCAAAATCTTTTGAGGCAAGTAGTCGACCTGCGGCTCGCTCGTCATTTCGTCAGAGACCGACGGTGAGGGAACGACCAGCTCAAAGAAATCAAGGGCTATCTTCTGAGTTTTCAGGAATGTTACCTCTCGGGGCTCATAAGTTCCCGAGAGATTCATCCCTCCAACGTTGCACACTGCATCCGCCAGTCGGGTAGTCAAATTTGACGGTGCAATTTTTTCCCCGCGCAACCAAGGCAGTTGCCTCGCAAAATGAGTTCCGACTCTTTGCGAAAGTCGGAGTTTTCCCCGAGGTCCCTTCTCCCGAGTGCTCTCTCCCCTCCTGCCAGTCTAAGTAGGACGATGCTGTTTTATGTCTCAATTTTCGGGCTGGGGAAACTTAGAATAGCGCGGAGTCTTACGATTCCCTCTCCTCGAGGGAGACACAGTCAGGATCCCGAATATTCCAAGATCTTAAACAATAGCCAGAGACCGATGGGGCGGATGGAGGAGAAATCCACACGAGGTGCCCGTAGAGGAATGAGAATGTTTGCCGTCTTGCGACTCCGCCGGTCTGGATGGCCCGAATGGATCGGTCGAATTCGTTTTGTCCACACCTGATTTCGATTCCGGAACGCACGGAGAGTGAATCCGAGGAAGAAGGCCGATGGAGGCAAAAGGGTCCTCTCCTGGTCCGCAGCGTAGCAGCCAGATCGACCGAGAGGCGCATTATCAACGAGCGAATGACTTTTCGCTTCCCGACATGTCGCAATCCTGCCCGTTTCGAGTCCTCAGGACTGGTTCTGAAGCTGTTTTTTCACTGCCTTTCACGACGCAAATCCGTCTGCAAATCGGGATTACCGGGCGCTCTTCGAGTGACCCAGACCGTGGACGTCTTCTCCATGCCAACAGCGGGAGTCCCGGTCCTGCCCTCGCCGAATGTGGAAAACTTGCCCGGATTAGAAAAAGCTCAGCAGAGAAGAGTTCAATTCAGGCGGAAGAGCTTCACGGACCTACCGACCGACCAACCGGCCGGCTGGCCGGCCGCTCGGCCTTACTGACTGACTGAGCGCCCTTCCTCCCTACCTCGTCCGCCCATTCGGAACTTTTGCGTCAGACCACCAACTGGCCAGAGGCCACGTCCAATATCGAATCGTGTTACACCGTGACCACTTTTGGGAAACTCGTTTGCGCCGGGCACGACTCCTGGAACAGAGCGCTATCCTTACGGCCGCGATTACATTCACAAATCCAGAAATGAGACCCGTTGAGAACAATGAAGTGCAGCGTCCTTTCAGATAAGCCGAGGCTCTCGCATCGTCGCGCTGGGAATCCGAGTTGAACGAAACATAAGATACCAGGACGGCACTTTTTCGCTTCCTTCCCGTCCAGCTCTCTACCCCTCTCTCTGAGGATTTTCGTCGCCTGATACTCTGAAAGCTGCAGGCTTTGAAAGCAGGACGGCCTTGAGAGTTTTTCGAGCCGAAAAAAACACCTTTGTGCCCGGGCTCATTTACGATATTATCGACATCGACAGGTCCATCAAGATGACGCAAGGGAACCCTAATCAGCTGATTAGGTTCTCCGGAATTATTGCTTTTCCCCGTCGCGTTTTTTTGCGTCTTACGCCCCGCCCCGACCCGCTTCGCCTTATTCCTTCCACATCCCCCTTCGCTCCCCGTAGCTACGACCGGTCGCGTCATCCGAATGATCCGCGACGATAAGTCTTTTGGGAACGTTTCTCCTGACGCTCGGAGCCCGGTCTACGTCACTTTGCAGCCAACGTAATTCCCGAGAGTGCGTAGACCCTCACCTTGTCGAAAGCATGATGGAACGTCTAGTTTCGAGGAAAGTCTCACGTCGCAGGCCTCAACGTCATTCATGACTCGCTTTTCCGGGGAACTCTTCAACTTGACCGCAGCTGTTGCGGAACCCACACAGTAATCCACTCGTTTGAGGTGAACTTCTACTCCGGAACAGGCAATCAATTCCGCCTTGCTGTCGGCCGTCGGCAGCGTTCTGCAACTCACAGCGGACCAAAGCAGAACAAATTGGAAACAAAGCCGATCAAGGAGCCGAGCTCCGAGATTCGAGACGCCCGAGGTATCCCGAGGAGATTAATCTCGTGGTGTTATTCGATCTCCCGCGACGAGTATTGAGAATATTTCGGGGGAGGAATAACGTGAGGACGGACGCAACTCGGGAGACCAGAACTTGTTAACGCCGTTCTCGTCGTGGCTCCTCTCTCGTGTCCGACAGGCAGACAAGAGCTGACGTCCGCGTGAGCAAGAGCCGGGCTTCTCGAAATCTACCCACGCGTGTCGCGTGAGAGACAGCGTAAACAAAAACTCTCGTCGCAACAGCAGCTGAGCAAAGTGTACCAGCAGACATATCGGGAGTTCGGAGCATCTCATGAGGCTCTTGTCGATTCCTAGCCCGCGCCCCCTGCTCCTGATATCCCCGTTGGGAGACTTCGAGACTCTCGGATCGGAGCCTCTGGACCGCGACTCATAATTCCTGAAGATTCTCCTCCAGAGTTTCGTGACGATCTGAACTCTCGTACCAGATCGGAATTGACTCATCATCCGGGAGACAACCGAGAGCGATCTCTTGGAGGAGGTGACGAATGCAGGTACGGTCGTTCGGAGAATGATTCTGAACACCTACAACGGGCCACGGCCGCTTCGGCCTCGGTGAAAGCGAACCACAATCACAACGAACGGGGCGTTTGCATTCGCACGAAAGAAGTATGTCTGGATGTACGTGCTCGGGGCTGAGCAACGTGCACCACAGGTCGCAGGGACTGGGCGTAGCTTCAAATATCCATTAGAGAATTCGTCATACGTTCCAGTTGGCTCCAGTCACCAGCTGTGACATTTTCCTCGGAGGCATAAAAACAAGCGGATCGCTTGTCTTCCTTTCTGAATCTAGATCTTCCCCAGTCTCAGAAATCGTCGAGAATTTCCTCGGGACTCGGGAGCCTCGATTCACTCGCGAGTCGATTCCTTCCCGAGCTCCATTTTCCGTTCCCGTTCGCTGAACTCATTGAGCTCCAGGAGCAGCTGACAGTGAAAAAGAGTCAATCAGCAGAGGAGGGTGGGCACAAAACGAAAATTGCGATGCGGACTCGAGTCTGCGTATTCGATGGTCTCTGTAAACAATCAGCGAGGCAGAATACATTTTTTCCATCAATTCGAGAACAAACATTTAGGACTGGAGCTCCTCTACTCCGTTTTTTCCCTCGTCCAGAGACGCCCAAGATCGGAAAATCATTCACGTCGGAGCGACGGAGGAGAGCGCCGCCGAAGCCGAGCGGCGAGATATAAGGGCGGGGAATGAAGGCCCGGATGACAGCAAGGATCGTCAGAGAGGATGACCGTACGACGGCGAAAGATGAAGTGATGAATCGAAACTCAGGACCAGGCCGAGAAAATGGGAAGAATTTCGAAAACGGAGCGCCGGTGATGTCGGGGAAGAGGAAAGACATCAAGGACCCATAGAGTCCTTACAGGAGATAATAAATGTACGGAAGACCCGAGATACGGACGACAGAAACTGCCCAAAGTACATGAAGCGAACCGGAGGCAGAATTCGAAAGGAAGAAAGAATCCCATTTCGGACGGGAGAAGGGAGCAAGTTCGGACTTGAAGGAAGAATGGAAGTCTGTGATCACGAAAGCAGCGGCATGAATATCCGAAATATAGCTCTCGCACGAGGAAAAAACGAAAACTCACTTCTGGCAGGTCATCGACGAAATCGGGAGCTACAGTGGTTACAAGCTCCATTTTATTTCGAGCCACAAGCTTCTCCGTAGAGTACACTTCGCACCGACAGCTGATTCTCAGCAGCGATTCGACAACATCAGGTTGTGACAATCGTAGCGTTCGTTCGACTTTGGAAAAAAGCTGACGGACCGAGTGTTGAAAACAATCAGATGATCGAGTAGAACTCTCCTCGTCGCCGTCACCAGTAGAGGCTTTGGTCAGGGCTCTTTGAAACAGCGGTGCCAGCATTAGAAGCAGTCGTAGCATGTACAGAGAGAGATTCGCTCGACGAGAAGGACCCAGGGGCCGTCTTGTTCGCCGGCTTGAATGCCAGCCGCCTAGCTGACACTAGAGTGGCCGGGGCTCAAACGCTCTCCCACCGATCTCCCTTTCTACAGCGAACTCTTAGCTGAGAAAAAAAACTCCTCGGGGCGAGCATATATATCTCTAGAGAAATTTAATCGCCGCATCGTTTGAACATTTCTCCAGCTCGAGAGCCTCTCTAGCTTCTTGAAGCGTAATTTCGACGAGTGCCGCGAAGATATTGCGTCGGTTGTGACACCGATGTTCGAACGTTTGGCAGCCGCATGAGACACGCGAGAAGCTAGGAGTGAGGCCGCGAAGCGTCAGCCTCCACTGGAGCGCTCCCGGGACGGCACTGTCGCACTGATTTCTTTGTCATCCGATCCTCAGAGATCACTCAAAAGACGCATTCCAATAAATCGATATCCCTGCAATATTTTCTCGGCGTGACAGCCGTGGAGTCCCCGTGGCAACTCCTCGAGCAGGTAGATAACACTGTCAGTGGCACAAAGTGATGGAGTTGTCCGACTTATTTCAAACAGATTTTTCAATTGTCAAACCCGATGTCGGTTGTATCCTCAAAGCAGTGCGACCTTCCTCGAGCGTCTCCGAAATCACGGATCTCAGGTGACGGAGAGAGAATAACGGTTGGGAATTTCTCACCGCTGTAAAATGACGATCTAAAGGAAAGAGTTGGCTTGTTCCTGATCCTCTCGGGAATATCTCTACGCGACTCATTTTTTTTCTGCTGATCATCACTTTAAGCGCGAACTCAGCTCGCGGAGAGCTGCGAGAGCTGAGCGACCGCGAGAAGGAGGAGCCGTCGTTGTCGCCGCGGCGGCTTTGAAAAGAAAGCAAACAGAGCCGTCACGATGCTCGAGCTTGGTGAGCATTGTCATAAGTGCGAGCGCACAGAGGTCCTACAACCATTAATTTTAACGGCGGAGATTGTCTCTTGCTGACCGCTGTAATCGTTATATTGTCATATACATATAGGTGTAGTTTCCGCTTGGGTCAGGCTTGCCGCTCCACCAGCTCTCACCGTCTCTCCACCTGGTGCAAGAGATGTGGAATTCCTCAGTCCTCCGTTCGGAGCTCTGCCGCCGCTGCCTGAGCGGACATTATTCTCCTCGCGCTACTTTCTGATCTCGTTCTCGATTGCCCCGAATTCCTTTCATTACAGTCTGGTTTTCGGAATTCAAGCCATTTAAGCTGCCCCTGAAATTCCCGTCAATCGACCCAGCACAATGCAGGCGGAACATGAACGCAACCGTTTCCCGGGTCGAGGAATCTTCCCTTGGAGGCAGGTTCGAGTCCGCGGGAGCATTCGACGAGGCGATTCCACGGGCGTCCCCCCTCGCAGCCCGAAATAACTCCCTACTTTGCGTCATCCATCGCTATCGGTTCGAATCGAAATCATTCATCCCGGGGCTTGCTTCAACCCGATCATGTCTCTTGTTTCGCCGCACTGCTCATGTACCGCACCCCCATTCGTACGTTCGGCAAACCGCTCCTCTTGCCCGCGTACCCCCGACAGCCCGTCAGCTGCTCGAGTTATCAGCCGCATTGGAAAGCCAGTCACGACAACGATTGGGTCCGTTGAATGTCCGTGTTTTCTCTCGCCGAGCTCGGAGGAAGTCGCGGGAGTTTCGGATCGACAGTTCCTGAGAGTCTAGGGACGCGATCGCTTCAGGAAACACCGATAATCAAAAGTTGCTCCTCAATCAAAAGTTCGATTCGAAACACGCCGCCTCATGTTCGATAACGGAATTGAAGCATCAGCAGCATGGGAGGAGGGGGGGGAATCCAACATGAGATTTCTATGGACGCCGCCCGTCGAGCACTCACCCGTGCCGGAGGCTCAGCGCTTCGAATTCCGGGCAGGTGAGTGTTGCATCGGTTTTCCGACGAGACGCAGGAAGCGTGGACTCCGGCCAGCGCTGAAGCAACGGATATGCACAGGCGGCGGATAAGCACCACGTCGTCGTGGGGCGTCGCCCAACTTATTCGTTTCGCTTCGCGCGTCCGGATTCAGGGATTCGAGCCATAAACAAAGCGCCCTTAGGCCGAGAAGTGTTTTTCCTGGCCTCTCCGAATACTCTGAATCGTTTCTCGATCCGATGAGTGGCACTCCGCTCTCGGAGGCTCGAGATCATTCGACGGACGCGTGTATTAAAAGCCGGCAAAAAGTAATAAGCTCTCGCTGATAGGGAGCCTCCCTGTCGTCGTTGTCCTCTTGACAATGTGCGGCGTTACGGCCGTGGATAAATACAGCTGCCTGAACATTGTAGACAGATCGGTCGACGTGGGAGCCGCTTTTCTCCGAGAGACACGTCAAGCGTCCATCTCTCGACTTAGTCTAATGTGTCAATAGAGGGAGCGCTCCGTACGGAGTTCCGGCGAGATCACCGGTCACTTTACTCTGCGTAAGTCAACCCGCTCAAGCTGCTTCTGCTGCATTTAATCGAATTGACAATTTTTTTTCGGGCCCATGGATCGGGGCAAGAACGGTGAAACACTCAACGAGACGCTCAGCCATCCCGCCCTCGGCTCAAACGCTTTCGGAAGCAGGATGAGTGCGCCAGCTGATCGCTCATGTTTTTGTTTTTCAGTCATCGTCGCGCCGCGAAGCGCGAAGGCTGCATTTTCCACCACAACCGATGCCTGTCTCCAATCTTCAGTAACGCGCTTTAATCATCGGAAGGAACGGCGGTAATCGCGAGGAGAAGAGAACGCTCACCGGGCAGAAACCACCAACTGCACCTGCATCTCGGATCGGACGGGGAGACGACTCCGGCCCAGAGCGCGGAAACCCAAGGCACAGGACTCACCATATTGAAATTTTCATCAAACACGCGCATCACACTTTCACTAAAAATGTTCATGGCCTCCTAGTCTGTCGTTCCGTCGTCGAACACTATTCCTTTCACACCAAAGATCTGCACCTCTCAGTCGAGCCTAGGCAGTGTATCTTCAACACAGCGGTAATCACGGGTTCGGTTCTCACAAGGTTACTATGTACACATACACAGATAACAATCAAAAAGCACGAACGAAACAAGGCATCGCTTGATTGAGGTAACAAACCGTAACCATCCGTTCGTCCGTTCGTTCGTTCGTCGGTCGGAAGGAGGCGGCCTCTACGACTCTATGCAATCGAGCCACGCGGGCCTAGGCCCGCCGAGAGGGCCCTCTCCACGTCGACTCTCTCAGAGGGGCTTGAACCCTTGTTCGGAAGCACCCGCCATGTATTTTTGTGCGAGTCCGTATTCCTGTTCCTCTGTACATTCATTCGTTTGTTCGCTCGCTCACTCGTCGTCTATCTCCGTGTCCGACTGAATTCGGCTATGTCGGATGGTTCTCCGGGAGGGGATTGCGGCACGGAGTTCGAGCTCGACCGTAGGGAACGCGGCAGGGGGAGACGGACGAGAAACGCAAACATAATCGTAGGGTTGAGAGTGACTGGAGTTGCATTGCTAAGGAGTCAGACCGAGCGAGAGACGAGACAGCGCGAGGAACAGGAGCAAGAAACCGAACCGGAGTCGAGTGAAGTAGAACTTCAGCCCGGTCTCAGCGAATTCGCGGTTCCTCGCCGAGAGAACAACACCGATCTATTCATCGGCCGCCGCAGCACCTTTCGGAGCAAACGGGATTTTCCCTCGAAGAGCAAAGCGGACAAATCGTACATCTCCACAATGATCATTGATGAATCCGGACGAGGCACGGAGCGACGAGCTGGCGTGCGGGTCGTACTGGATTCCCGACGGCCTCACATGGTATCACGCCATTGTTCAAATGATGATTACGACTTCAAAATTCTCGCATATCGAGCCGCCCGGGGGGATCGTTCGGTGGGTCTGTATGACTCCCACTCGAACGCCTCTGAGATCTCGAGTCTGCGTATTATACGAGGGGGACCCCGAGGAAAAAGCAGTGGGCGGGTCAGGGTCTCAATCTCATGAGCCACGAGCTGTTGTTATGACTCTCTCAGATCGCGAGGTTTTCCGTTGACAAACAGCCCTCGGCCACGTAACTTTGTAGTTTCACTCGTCGTCGGCTCTATCTCAACACAGACTCATGAAAAACGGGACCGAGATTCTGAGGCACGAAGGACCCACTCAGAGATGAGCAGCAAGGCGATTCCTGCATTAGGAGTCCGAGAGAGCCCCCAAGGACAATCGGGAGCCTTCCAACGTCGAAGCGTGGCAACCGACGGCGAAGCGCTGTCCCGGAGTACTGAGTTGGTATTACGAGGAATCTGGAATTCCTTCGGCGTGAGGCTTCGGAAACCTCTAGAGCTTCAGGAAATCCCCGTTGGGGAAAAAGTAAACGCAAAGAGGTGAGCGGCATATGGAACAGTATGGGGGAACCAATGGAAGTCGACGTTGCCTCTGGGCGGTATGGCTGCCTCGACTACAACACAATTCAGGATCCTCCTCTTTATTCACCGAGTTCCACTCGCGACTATGAACACACGCCGTTGAATAGTCGAATCCATAGAAGTCTTCCAATAGCCAATTTTAGGAGGGCTTTCAACGAGTCGCGCAACGACCTCTCGGTACATGTTCGTCGAATCGACGAACGCGAGGCCTTCACTGAATTTCCCTTCCTCACGCCTCAGCTCCCAATGACGCCCGTCCAATTTTTGGAGAGGAAAAAACCGTATATCGATGAGATTTATTGTTCCCAACATCTATCGGATCTGATTTTCCGATTCTGATTGCCTTATCGGCGCATTGGTCAGGGCTCCCTCGCTTGGGAGTTGGCTTATACCGGCAGCAGCCATTGGTCCAAGACTGCGGGAGATGATATCGCGTCGCAGACAACGGCAGACTTGATCGACCAGCGATGTATTACTTTCTATCGATTGTCCTTGCGAAGGAAGAGTTCGATGAAGAAAAACCAAGTCCACGACTTGAGCTCCTCCCTCGACCAGTGATCCAGGATAAGGCGGGAGCGTGCCCCAGAGAAGGAAGGACCCAGGCAACCCCGAATTCATCCTGAGCCGTCCGCCTCCCTTAGATCGTTTTCTCGCATCCGGCAGGACAGCGAGGAGTCTCACCGCCTTCACCACGAAGTCGACGACGACAGCAGGAGAGCACAAGGAGAAAAACTCGAGAATATACCCGCAAGCGACTACCTACGACGACGCGACGTACTACCCGACATCACGATTATCCTCATCATGGCTAGTACCTAGTAGCAAGCGGCGGTGTCCTTTCATCTTGTTCCTTGCTTCCCGAGGCCTCATCGCGCAGGGCGCAGAGTCACGCTCGGGTTTTCTTCACTTCGAAACTTATCCTTCCTCTGGAGATACCTCGCGACAGCTTCCAGGAAGCCCTTTTCATTTGTTCCTACCGAACGGCTCATTGAATCTTCCCTCAAGCTCACTTGAAGTTTTCCCTCCTACATCCCCTGCTCAAGTTTCCTCTCAATCATCCTCGATATTCGTCCCGGTGCTTCTTGTTGTCGAGCGTGCTCGATGGCTCTCAGCGCTGAGTTCTCCGGGGACTTCCTCCCGCGGATTTCGTTCTTGTCGTCAATGGAATTAATGAAGACATTCTCGGCGGGCCGCGACGAGTCTCTAGTCGTCCCGATATTGAGAATCATAAATTTTCTAACGGAGCGACAACAGCTGCGAGGTCCCATCAATGTAGCAATCGGGAATAAATGTCGGCTTCCGACTACCTGCTTATAGGCTGAAGACTGAATCCGAGCCCGGAATTACAGGATCTCTGCTTTTCTCAGGAATTGAGCCCCTCCGCGCCGAGAGATCTAGCAGAGGGAGTGGTGAGCTGCCGAAGGCCGACCAAAGACGAGCAGGCTCATCTCGGACAGCTCTAAACAGGGAGAGAGGAGACTCAATAGGCCGAACTTCGCGGCCAGAATCAATAGAGGAGAACTGCTGAGGAGGAGATAAAAAAACAGGCGAGGCCGCATTGGTCTCAGGACGAGTCGCTTGCGAAGTCAGCGCCTCTGGTGTTCCTTGCGGGTTCCAAATGAGGCATCGTTCAAACGAGTTCGGATTCCATCAAGTTCACGTATGGACTTTGATAGGCGACCTCGCTCTGGGCCCCGGCTTTACAACGTTGCAACTCAACTTCGCAACTTAATCCGTGGAACAAGGCCGCGCCGCTCCACGGGTTGGTCGTGGTTTCGACTAAATCTATCCACAGTGAATGTGCACAGGTACCGATCTCGACCCGCTCAAAAACTTCGGTCTGAGGGAATTTTCATCGATGCAATATCTCCGTCTCCACACCCGGAGGAGCCAATTCAGAAAATTGGGTAAACCGACATCGACGATGAACTGCCTTTGCTCTAAAGTAGCTCGTCCGGGACTGTAGGTGGCAAGTTTTGAAACCAAGCAACAGAGCCGACGTAGCACGTGTCTCCCGAGTCTGCTTTGCTTCGTCACCGTTGGAGCGAAGATAATATTTCTCGGAGAGTGGAAACGGAAACGACGAGGGGAAAAAGGTACTTACGACTCCTGCTGCTCCTGGAACACCGGGAAACATGCCTCCTTGAAGCGCCTGAACGGCTGCGGAGTTTTGCATTGCTGTGTACATGGCTAATGTTCTGGGGTCTGGTGAGGTAAATCCTGCGACAGCTCTGCCGCCCACGCCTACTGCGCCGACCTGGGGAAACACGGGCACCTGAGACGCCATCACCGCTGAGCCGAGCTCTACGGAAGACGCGGCCGTTGCCCCGTTCGCCATTCACTGGAAGAACTCCTCAGAAGGTTTTGCTTCGCTTCTGGGCGAACTTCTCACGAGCTTTGCTGTTTCGATGTGTCAATGCCAAGATGTTTTCTCGGGACTCCTCGAAACAAAGGGTATGTAGCACACCTGGGAACAGAAGGAAAATCAATCATTAGTGAGAATTTATGCATGTTCTCCATACGTCATACGTCAAAGCGGTCCGACACGGCCCCTCCCAGCACTAGAGTCGGGACTGCCAAGCAGGACGATATTCGAGAGGCTCGACGTCTCGCAGACGAATGCCCCTGAAAATTCTCTCCCCTCCTTGGCGCACCTTGTCCCCCACTGCCCGGTACATGACACAAGACTCCATACGAGTACCAGTTGCAATTCGAGAAGCAGCTGCCGTGCGACGTTGAGCTCTTATGTCAGAGAGAGGACGTCTGCCCCAGCCTACCAGAGTCCTGACGAAATTCGAGGACGCAGAGACGGAAGAAGCTCGAAAAAGTCGACTTGAAACTTCAGATCGGGCTGGCGGTGACTCGCTTTGAACACAGCTGACTAAAAGGCATCAGCGTCACTCTACCTAGTCGAGCAGAAACTAAGGTCGTTTGGGCTCTTCTCGAGTTCCCCTAGAACTCCAGGACTCGGAGCCCGCGCCGTTGGCCGCAATCAGAATGCGTACAATCGATACACTTCCAAGCAGTCGGCGCAGACGGAGGACGGGGAAGAGGAGGGAGGAATCAGCAGGGCAAACATCCTGTTCTTTCTCTCGATCGCCGCCACAAGCCTGATTAACGGATCTGAGGGGAACTCCTCGCTCAGCGGTTCTGAGGAGAAAACGCTACGAGTCGCGATTGATCTTGGAAGTTGGAAGTCGTGGTGGGAAACAATTGACGGAGCTCACCAGGATCATCGATGCCAACTAAGGCGAAATGTTGCATATCTCTACCGGGCCATGTCCTTTCGCGAGGCTCTTTCCGAATGCGGCTGTCGGTAACGATTTGGAAAAAATCGGTATCAGCACGATTCCCGGCCGCCGAATGTACATCAAATCGCTCACTGAGATCAAGCGAGGCGAAAGCTGCATTTGAGCCGGAACTCCACCATGGAACGTTTCAAGCTACCATATCGACGTAATATCCAGCCCTTATTGAGGAGCAATAAGGCTCGGACATGAGCGTTCACTCGAGAAACGAGCTGTTCGCAATGATCGCCGGGGTATAGAAGGCAAGATTGGGGAATTAGGAAAGGGACGTTATAAAGGGTCTCAACATTCCGTCTCCGGAAACCAACCACCACCGCATCGATCCCAGTCTGTGATCTCAGACAGAAAGGAGAGGAAACCGACGAGTTCTCTTTTTTTTTGTGGTTCCGGCCATTCTGCATATCCGCAAAAAGGCTCAGCTCCGCCTATGGTCGCTGCATTCAGAGCACCTGCAGCGACGGCAGCCGCTCGAATTTATTTTCGTGCGCGAATTTTACAACGGACCGACTCAAGCACTTCCGCTCGAGTGGCTTCAAGCCTTTACGCTAACGATCCGGTATCGTTAGGCAGTGGAATTCCGCTGCGGAATCTCCGCACGGCTCGAGAACGCTTGGAAGCTGTCAGCAGCGTTAGGATGACCCGATCGAGACAGATGTTCGCTTGCCGCGCATGCGAAACGATACACGAGAGGAGTCGGGTACGGCGCGAGAGGGGAAGGAAAACTCGCCCATCTCGTCCCATTTTATTTATGAACACTCGGCGATGATCGTCGGGTAGGACTGGCCCCATGAACGTGTTTCTCTCCACCGTCAACTTGCCTGTCACTCTGTCCGAGTGCGCTATGCCGATGTCACGTCGCCAACGGCGAGCCGAAAAGAGTGATCAATAAAAAGAGATGGATAGATATACCGATACGATGAATTGAAGGCCAGCGATGTTCGCTGATGGTCTCAGCTCCGGCAGAGCGATCTCAGCGCAAACCATTCCGAAAACGGGAAAAGCAGACCTGGAGAGGCCTGCGAGGATGGGAGAAAGAATTCGCTCGGTAGATTTTCCCTCGCTGTCCTTCCACAGGGAGACATTCGTTTCGCATTTCCCCTAAATGAGTTACAGTCCTTAGATCTCCCGGACCACCGAGCGTAATCTCATTTTCTAGCGGATCTCAAGCTCGTGAGCCCGCGGACCCCGCTGAACCCTGATCCGGATTGAGTACAACTCGGGAAGAAGGCTACTTCCACCAGCTCAGGTCTAATTGCATCCAATGAGCTCGGTCTTGTGTCCGGCGACTGGGAAACTATTCCGGTGGACGTTTCTCGCCGAAAATATGTCCTCTCGCGAGAGGCTCGCCCCCTCCACAGACCCTGCGGACCGCTGACTGAGAGCGCGGATGTCCCCCGAAAGGGCGGCGGGACACAATGAGACTTCTGGAGAGTCCAGCGAGCACCGAGAGACTGCACAGACGATGGAGCGAGGCGGAAAAAGCTGCGAGGCAACAGTGAACAATGGCGTAGTGAAGGATCGCCGACAGCCACTCGATATCTTCTGCTATGCGTAGGTCTCTGTTACTGACCGGAAACGCTTGCAGAGGCTGTCGTTGAGATGCTTGACACAAATACATGTGCGCTAGGAGGAAAGTAACGACTTCGCTGTCAGAAGCTGCTCTCCGCCGCCTCGGTCAGGTCCCGAGCGAGCGTTGCATGGCCGATCAAGTCCAGCGATGGAACTCGAATCCCGGATCCCACCAGGATTCAGGATAGGATGCAAACTCGAGGTGGAACGATGGAGAAGGACGGGAAAAGGTAACGGAGGTGAGCGAAAAAGCCCGTCTTCATCAAAGCGAGAGCGGGAGAGAAAGACACATTACGAAAAAGTTCCCAGTCCGACGAATCTCCCGGGACCACACGCACCAGTTCTACTCGCCATGCCTCGGAAACAGGACCGAGTTCGTTTTTCCCTCATGAGGTGAGCGTTGGAGGGAGATTCGTAGGGAGCCATTCGATCAGCTGAGTGGATTCGGTATTTCTCGGATGGTCCCGGCAGGAACACGACCGGCGCCAGAGCAGCGAAGGAAAGTCGGATCGAGAAATGTTCGGTGCGATGACACTTCAGAGATATTCCGGCCGCGAGGAAGATTATTGAAAGCGCTCATCTAACCTATAGAGTCCCGACAGAGGAATCGCAGTCCTGCGAACAGGTCGGATAACAGGACTTCGTTAGAGGTAAGATAACGAAGTTCTGTCTGCCAATCTCATCGCGTATGCACTTGGAAGTCTCATTTAGCGAGATGCCCAGTCGGGATCCGTTGCGTTGTGAGCGGGGAGGGGCGAGATGGTGGGCACGGGTTTTGGGAAGGGGGGAGCAGCGAGATGGTGTGCACGGTTTTTTGAGGGGGGGGGAAGGAAAACTCCGCTCGGATGAGTCGGTGGAAATGAACCTGACGTTTGCAGACTCGTTGCATTTCGAGCCTCGTTGCTGATCACTGCGACTACGAAGCGACGTCGGCGTCGCCCCATAAATCGGGCCCCCTGAATTTCTCGGCTCGGAATCTTTTTTTCGATTCATAACGATTCGGATCACTATCCGAAATTCTCGATCATTGCGTCGTTCGCACTCTTCGATGATATTATTGTATCACGGAGCAAGCCACCAGCTATCGTGGAAGTCTCGGTCTAGGGGCTGGGCCGGCGAAGAGACGACTTTTCGGTGCGGGACACGGCATGGAATTTCGAGACGGACGAGCCACGGGTATTGAATGGTCTGGTCTCGCGCTTTGGAAGCGAACTCACGTCTCGCCCGCTTCAAGATCACAAACCGATCAAGAGGTGCGGTTGGTCTAACAGCCGACAAACCGGCCACCCAACAAACAGAGCGGCAGGCCGTCTGCCGAGCAAGCCACCGTCCGGACGAGCGGGCGAGATAGCGAATGCAGAAATCGAATCTTCTTCGTTAGCATTCACCTCATGATGACAGAATAGCTTAGGTGTGTCACGTTGCTGACATCAGAAGAGAAGCTTCTCCAGTATCGCATCCAGTATTGCACCGGCGAGCGAGAGACTTATTCCGTGGCTTGAAATTCACCGCGACTTGTCGTCGAAAAGCAATTCGTCGGTACCTAAAGCGAGGGAAGAAGAATACGTACAGCGGGAATTCGCAAATCCAATCGGGCGAAGTTCGTGTCAAAAGCGCATCCACTGCAAGTCGCGGCGCAACGCGGAGTCGGGAAACAGTTCCCCCGAACAAGTTCATGCCGCGGACGTCGTCGTAATCGCTCGATCGTGTGAGTTCTGACAGTATGCCTGCTGCCAAGCGAATGTGGGAACTCCCTCTGTATACGGCTGACGAGTTCGCAGAGAGTCGGAAAGACAGAGAGGGGATTAGCGTGACCGAAAAGCAGCATAGAGCTCATTCCGAGCGGCGATCATCATCAAACTCGAGTATCGACCTCAAACCGGAGCGTAGGACCACCTTCGATGCTTGGGACAAGGAAAAACAGACACCGAGTTCTTTGGGACGCGCCAACGATAATAAACCGGATAAGAGGAAGTTTCACGAACGTTCCGGTGTTTCCAAGAGGCCGATATCTGAATTTATCACCTGTACACCACTTAATACGCTCGCGACAGGAGAAGCACGAGGCGGGCGACAGATGTATGTGCTCGTTCTGTGAGGAAACCTGCCGACGGTATCAATTCTACAGCTGCGAGAGGTCCAACAACCCCGACAGGCAGAGCACAGGAACTCAATATTGATAATAAGCCCAAAAACTCCAGCAGATGGTTGAAATGAATGCGTTTTGATGAATTCATCACCTTCTCGTAGCCACCGCTGTCCAGACATACTCTTGCTTCACTCCATTCGGAAAAGCCCGAGCCCGGTGATTCGATCCTCAGAGGCGGGAGACCGAACCCGCGGAAAACGAATACCAGGAATCTGGCTTCGATACGACAGGAGTTTGTTTGACTTCGTTTGACCACGGCCTATATGGCAGCATGATCAAAGGTCACAGGCCGACCAAATCTAATACTGACTC